CCATGACCATCTGTAACTCATGGTTAAGATCTCAGAAGTCACAAAAGTCTGTTTGTTCATGAAGGCTACAATAAAAGAACCGAATACATAGATGTTAGGCTGTGTATAATGCAAGTCTTTATAGTGTTATGCTTTGAAGGAAGGCCTTTTCTCGCATTATTTCACTTAATGGAGCTGGATTTGGTAATGCTTAAAGATCCATCAGCCTGTCAAAGCAATTTAAAACTCAATAAAAACAGTTCCCGTGTGGAGAGGGTCCTCCACCGTACTACACAACCGTATCAATAAAGTAGCCATTTATTGAGGAGCACTGAGTAATTGTTAGAAATAGTGAGTAGTGGCCATTACGATTTAGAGTAGGCTTGTATTTTATTCAGTATAATCTTCTCCAGTAAGAACTGTTTCAGAATAAATGTGTGCCATCAGATAAAGATTCTGTTATTAGCGGGTTGATGGTGTGAATCTTAATTTTTAATACAGATTATATGTGCTTCTACTCCATGATCATGTGAAACTATTGGAATTGAACTGCTGCGAGTCATAATTTCACACAATACAGAGTCAGTGTGATGCTTTCATCAGCAATAACAGAAATCTCTTTGATAACTCCCCACCAGATTTTAGTGATGTTGTTGTTGTTGTTGTTGTTGTTGGTTTTTTTCACCGGCTTTCGCGGCTTTAGATGTTTGTCTGTATATTTATTTATTTATTTATCGAGCTTTTCTATTTGGCGCTCTGTCAAAATAGATTGATTTCAACAAGGCTGTTTTCAGAGTAGCTCTCTTGGATGATCTTCGAACGAGACATTTGTCTGATAAATCGCAGTTGTTCGTTTTGCAGATAATGTTTTGTTTGATATGTTCCAAGGCTAATCTCGCTCGCCGAAAACAATCACATCAGACGTGTATTTCACAACTTCCTTCTGGAAAGCCATCGGTAATCCTCGCCAGTCAAACGTCTGCGTTTCATAATGCACAGATTGAAAACACTGATCAGGGATCACCGAAAATGTACACACAAGTGTGTCACTTGCTAGGTCGATGTCATCTGCTCGTTGACTTTTTACCTATCCAATGCAATCTTCGACTATATTTGCAAATGAAGCACCTGGCAGTTCAGGTTTCTTGGGGGAAATAGCATTTGTGTTTGCCTGACCCTTTATTGGCTTTTACCTCAAATCACAGAGATGAATGCATGGCCTATTGGTGTAATAGGAGAGTGATTTAGGATGAATAAAACATGCAGCATGAAAGAGTAATGTTGAAAAAGGAGTGTGTTTTGTAATAGAGCCCTGCTGCGTGCCCATTGTGAGGTGATGTGTTAATAGTGGGAGAGCAACTGTGTGGTTGGAGGGGTGAGAAGGTCTAATTTATCCGCTGCTCTGAAGGAGAAATGTATTTTTATTTAAAACCTCCTGGCTCACACCCCTTGACTTCATTGCTGTAATGGAAATGGTAAAATAGGTGCTGTTGGCTGAGACCCCTGAAGCTTTTTTTTTTTTTCACCGGCTTTCACAAATGGCTGATTTTTCTCCCTCCCTCCCTTTTCCATTAAGACAGCTGGTATCTTTCAAAAGGTCCTGCTCTGGTGATTGATGTGTAATGGCTTCAAGCCTCACCTGCCCCACAGCACGTTATTCATCTGTGGGTACTGTTGAGGGGAGTACTCGCCATTGCTTAATTGGTCCTGGTCACCATTCAGACGCCACATGAACCGCTGCATTGTTGCTAGTCAGTGCTGTGAACCTCACTGCAGCCGCTGCTTATCACTGGTTGCTTATGCTCCTGTTCGTATAAATAAGACGCTCTTTACATGTGAGACGGTGTGGATTGCTGACCTTTCTGCAGTTGTAAGTTATTCATCACATGCGGCACATTTGTACAGCGCTCGTTTCGTGGAGTTGATGCAGTAAGAGTTGTCATGACACATCGTAATGTAAGTATTTTAATTGCCAAATAGTATCAAGATGCTACCACCAAATAAAAGCTTATTTTCTGGACAACTTTTCAATGTAGTACTTGTGGTGGTGGTGTTTTTTTTTTTTTTTCTTAAGTTGATTTTTTAAATTGTTTTTAAATTTTTTTTATATATATTGTTTTCATATTTATTTTGTTTTATTTCGATTATTTATATAAATTGCATTATTATTATGATGTTAACATTTGTTTACATTTTTAATCAAAGTTACAGTAGTACTTTATGTACTGCTATTTAAAACTCTTGGATATACTTCTGGATATATTTTCTCATTATTCAACAATTTATTAATGAGACTGACTGACTAGTTTGTCTAGATTTTTTTTATTAATTTAGTTAACATTTTTAGCAGTGGTGCATAAAGTAGTGTTTACATCGTGTGTTTTAGCTGTTTGCATGGTAAAACCTCAGACATTTATCCCATGTTGTTTTGTTATCGTTTCACATGATATTCTCATTTTATCTTTTTTGTGTTTTTACTGTATGTACTGCTGTTTTGACAACTATTTTGACATCTTTTTCATGTAACAATTTATTAATGAGTTTGACAAGTTTGTCGAGATTATTATTTTTTTTAAAAAATATTTTGCTTACATCTTGTTTTTAAACTTTTTGCATGGTAAAACCTTTACCGTCTTTCTTTGGATGCTTTTTAACATTGTGTCATGTCACTATCATATTTGTAAGTGAAAAATTGTGAAACGCACCTCGACCCCTGCATTCTGTTTGATTGTCTTGCTCTCCTGCTAGCTGTATTTGAACACCAGAATCATGAAACATGGCCTGATGAACTCAGAACTGGCCTAATAATGCAGGGTTTCCTTCCTGATCGGTTAGCCAAGAAGTCATTGTAACAGCCCACTGACTAGTCAAGTTTGAAAATACGTAGTTTGCCATAATTCAAAGTGTCTCAAAGTGAAAAACACACAAAATGAAGAAAAACACTGTATATGGAAACATTTATGTTTAGTGTATAAGTGTGTGTTTTTGTGTGTTCAGACTGGCGGTCAGTGCTGTAACTCGTCATAAGGTGATTAATCGGGCGGTGATGTGGCGGTGCAGCTCTGTAATCAGTCTGTAGTGTTGGAGGTTGATGAGGAGAGTAGCTGCCCCGTCAGTTGCCGTCTACTCAAGATGACAGGCTGCCATTGACAGGACTGCTTGTCAACTGCACCAGTGTGCCTGTCATAAGCCATTTCTCTTCATTTGTATACCTGCTCTATAAACACACCTCTCACACTGACAAACAGCCCAATTCTGTCCTGCTGCTGTACTCCCGCAGGCTCCTCGTATTTCCAAATTCACTCGCTGTAGCTTTTTCGGCAGTTGTCAGGTTTGGCTGCACCAGAGGCTGTAATCTTTACTTTCCCGTTTATCTGAAGAGGGGGGGGGGGTGGCGCAAACCCTTTCAAGTGCGCTTCATCGTTACGCAGCCATTTCATGCTCTCATATTGGTGGTCTCGTTTTGTTTTTTTCCGCTTCCTGCTTTTCAACCAATAAAAGATTGATATTTATTTTTATGAATGTTGACTTAAAAGAGGCAAGTAGCAGCAAGCGTTGTAAAAACAGGATTTGATCCAAAGCTGTTTTCTGCCCGGTTTTCTTCTCCATGCCTGTCTGTTCTGATTTCCACGGGTGATCGCTGTGCTAGCTGAGGTAGGGCCGCCTCTGGCCAGGCTGTAGTTAGTCTGACCAGCATGCACAACCAACAAACACTGTGGCCTGGAGGGAGCACCGGGTCTTATTCCAGTCTAACATATTGCTTGTAAGAAATTCTCGATAGCCTGAACTGGCTAGTTGTGCAAAGGTCTGTATAAGCTTAATACCCTGTAAAACGTGCAGCTGAGCCTATTTGATAATGCAGTGGGGAATCCTGTTTAGGTCACTGTGTGGGGAAACATGGTGCTGCTTTTCATCGCCAGGCAAAAATGAGCTGGGTAATAGAGCAGGCAGCTTGAAGTTTGTGCTCTTTTGATATAGCTGTGCTCAGAGCTCTCCTGAGGCAGTGCTGCTGCTGTGGAGAAGACCGCCGGTTGATCTTCCTTTTGGCGCACGACGTCACAGCACTGCTCGCCGGCTGTGATTGATTAAACCTATTGCATGAGTATCAACAGGCCCTTGGTCTTACAAATATCTCACTGCAAGTTTTATTTTAAATTTTATTATTAATTCATAGTTTTGGTGGAGTTGCACCACGTTAGGGCTGCACGATTATGACAAAAATCATAATTGTCGATTATTCCTCTGAAATTGTAATTGCGATTTATTAATTTGCGATTAAATGAATGATGTTTACACCTTTGTTTGAAGCAACTGCATGTCATATTTTTATATGAAAATAATCAAGCTGAAAACACTAACTGAAAAACTTTTATTACTTCCTATAGTATTAAGCCTCAAATGTCAGTTTCTCTTTAAATAAAAAGGTAAAAAATATGCATGGTATTATAATGTTATACTAAAATTAAAACAAGATAACATGTAGAAAGAAAAAAAAGCATCTTAAGCATGCAGAATAACATAAGTGGACTTTCAACGATTAATTGCTGCTTTGAACGCTTATGTAATTGTGGCATCCGTAATTGTAATTGCGATTAGAAATTTGATTAATTGTGCAGCCCTACACCACGTGACATTTTACAAGTCTTGTATAGTCTTGTTAAAAAGTTCAAATTATGCTGTACTTATTGACCTTGACATGAGGGGTCTGCACCGGTTCTCTCTATGATGTCATTTCCTGTTTTTATGGGTTTTTTACTGCATGTTTCTGCCTGTTGGTTGCATGTTGCCACAAAAATAATTATTCTTTGATGTTTTTTTTTTCACTGGAGTATCAGAATGTTTCAATCACCCTGACATTGATTTTGCCGCCTCAAAAAAAAATTTAAAAAATAAAAGTGATTTTTAATTGTGTGATGAATCAAATGTCATTCTGCAAAGAAAATGCATATACATGCATATATATGAATAAAGTGTGTCACTTAATTGACTCATCTAACAATGTTTTTATTTTCTTCCTTCAGCTCTTCTGAAACACTGGGGTTGTTGGTGTGGCCAAATTTTCCCTGGATTTGATTGGTAAATTCAGAAGACTGAAGCCCAGGCTCACAGTCTACCTTTCACGGAGGCCCAGCCGTGAGAGGACAGAAGAAGGCACGTGGCGAATCATGACTGCCGACAAAGAGAAAGACAAGGAGAGGGAGCGCGACCGGGACAGGGACAGAGAACGTGAAAAGCGTGACAAAACACGTGAAAGTGAGAGTTCGCGGCCTCGGCGCAGTTGCACACTAGAGGGCGGAGCTAAGAACTATGCAGAGAGCGAACACAGTGAAGACGACGACAATGAGACGCCTGGGGCCACCACTGCCGAGGAGGCCACCAAAAAGAGCAAAAAAAAGCTGCCCAAGAGGAAGTCGCGCTATGAGCGAACGGAGAACGGCGAGATCACTTCCTTCATTACGGAGGATGATATTGTTTACAGACCTGGCGGTGAGTTTCGGTTGTACAATACTTTTGTCTGTCTGACTCGTAGTTTTCATCTCAGCTGGAGGAATTTGAGCCGGTTGTCATAAAATAAGCATGCCGTTTGGACAGCAAGTATGTATTTGGCAATATTTTGTTAGCTTTGCTGAAAATGGTGCTTCAGCATAGCATAAACATGTCTCTGCATCCACAACTTGGATGAGAAGAAATGCATTTTCATTGGCTGCTGTGCTTGACTAAATAAATTCACTGCTTCTTGATGAAAGTGCAGAAGGAATCAGTGTGATGATATTTGAAACAGTCATATTTTTCACGCTTAGCTTTCCAAAGCACACACAAGATTATTGTTTTTCTTTATATTTTTCAGTGAGCGGCAGAAAAGTGAAACAGTCCACATTAGGTCTGTATTAGGTGCTGAGATTGAGCCTAGACCAGAGCAATAACCTTTTCCTGCGCTGTAAACATGGCCTCTCTTTCACCTGCTGTTTAGAAATTGGTTGTACATGAGGCTGGGGGGAAATGTCAACACTCCGTCAGAGGGCAAGGCACGGCTGCGTAGCGCAGCTGCCGTAGTCCTAAATCATCCTCACCGTGTCTTTCATTTATTTAGCAGCAAAAGAAAGGTCAAGCAGTATGCTTAGTTATTTAATGTGAAGACATCAGATTATAGCCAATGTACAATTTCCAATCTCGTCTCTTCACCCCCTGTCTTCTGCTTAGAGATGTGTTTGCTCACAGGGGGAAGGTGGGGAATGGCATGACGGTTGCCCCCCTCCTCCTCTTCCTCCAGCCGTTGCCCCAGTGGAATCGGGTTGGAGGCATTATCTGCTGAAGGTCCTTGAAACACACAGTTGCTGAAGCTCTCTTTCAGTAATAACCCAGCAGACCCCTTCCCTGCTCTGTTTTGGAGAGTACTGCTGCTCTGTTTTAGATAAGACTGAATTGAATCACATGTCTGAGGCATGTTAGTTGATTTTGTCAGTGCTGCAGTGGAGAATAGAAAGGGATGTCACCATGATTTGAAGATGGCTGCTTTAAATCACCTTTGTTGTTTAAAAAAGGAAAGGAAAATATCTTAATCCTTAGATCCCTAAAATGACAAACATCATCTGTTGTGGTGGAATTAAGAATTTGCAATATGTTATTATACAGCAAACCTTTCAATTGACTTTCACTGTCCTATACATCATACATAGATCATATAGCTGATCTGTTAATGCTTTAGAGACATTGTGTTTTATATATGCAACACAATGTATATAGGCAAATGTAGGTCTACATGATTATGATATATATATAGACTGCTCCAGACTGCGACCATTTTTTCTGCCTTTGTGACTAAATTTTGTGTGCGGTCGCACTGGCGCGACCACCGCGTTGTTCAACTCGTAAGCGCTGCCATTTCTGCTGCATATGAGAAACTGCAAACGAAACTGAAAGCAAAAATTAAGCGCATATTGAGGAAACAATGGATGGTTTTCAAGCGAAAGTCAAGTAAAAGACCGCTTCTTAAACCAGAGAAGGTGAACATGCTGGTATTCTTGTGTGGAAAAAAAAACATGCAAGCACTGTCACTGTTAGTATAACTTTTTGTTTTCATTTTGAAAAATTTGTTATCTTTGCTGTTTACCTCACACTACGCTATTGAGGCTCTCTTTTATTTATTTATTTGATTCCTCAGTGTTTGCTAAACGTTCTGTAATTTATTAGTCTGTATATAATACAGCATGTGGCGTGTGCCATGCCTCATCTTATTCGTTTTTGTTAATAAACGTTTTGTAAGCTAGTTTGTCATTGTATCTTACTGATTTATTGTTGTTGTGCTTTTTAAATAAGAATAACAATGAATCCATCTTTTGTTTTAGTCTTAAAATGAAAGGTGTGTAGATATATGTAAGCAAAACAAGTGACAACAAGATCGCAAATTCGAATCCCTGGCTTAACGCAGCAAAAGAGAAACTCCCATTTACAAAATTCAAATCACAAATAATACTACTGATGATAAAGAATGGGTTGAATGTTAACCACTTTCGTTTCCATATAACTATAAACTATGATAAAAGTTAATCAGCATGCATTGAATAATCCCATGTTGTAGCGCAAAAAAAAAAAAAAAGTATTTATTTATTTTGACCAAATCATGTGCTGGTGCGACCAGCTGAGAAAGTTATTTGCAAAAGAGTGACCATTCGGAAGAATGAGTCTGTAGCCCTGATAGATAGATAGATATATATAGATGCTTTTTTTTTTCTTTCTACGCGTTGTCTTAAGGGTTTTTCCATTGTTTTAATTTTAGTTTTAGTATAACATTATAATACCATTCATATTTTTACCTTTTTATTTAAAGAGAAACCAATCCGGTGTATAGTTGACATTTGAGGCTTAATACTATAGAGAAGCAATAAGTTTTTCAGTTAGTGTTTTCAGCTTGTTTATTTTCATATAAAAATATGGCATGCAATTGCTTCAAACAAAGGTGTAAGCATCATTCATTTAATCGCAAATTAATAATAGCAATTACAATTTCAAAGGAATAATCGACAATTATGATTTTTGTCATAATCGTGCAGCCCTAATATATATATGTATGCAGTGTTTCCCCTAGGTTTATGGCTTTTGAGGGGGTAGATTCCGTTTTTTTCTTTTTTTCTTTTCTGGACTCCTTTTTAATGGTTAAATTACATTTTATTAATCAAAAAGCATGTCTAATTAATTAAAATCATGAAACCTAAACAATTTAACATCAATTTATTAAAAGTTTAACAAATATTATGTTTAGGGCCCTATGAAATGTTCTATTTGTCCATCCTTATGTTTTATTGTAACCAAATTCTGTTTTAGCATGTCTAATTTGAAAGCATAAAACAAGTTTCATTTATTCTTACAATAGCCTTATGATTTTTTTGCTCAGAAATTCTGTGTTGTGTATTTACATTTTGTTTTAAGGCATAAAACATTCATTTAATGTATCTTTTAAGTAATGAAAATTTAACATTTTTTTGGGGAAAATAAAGGTCATTTAATATTACAATTAAAACATTGAAGAAATAATGAATGCTTATTCCTTAAAAATAAGGTTTTGATAATTTTATTAGTAGTAGTAGTAGTCTGTTACGTACATTCTACTCAACAATCGTAATATATTTCTGCCAATGCCCTCAAGTTAAACCGAACGTTTATTTTGACGGGTTGCCGTGAATACCATTACATTTCTGTGTGTGTATGACATGATGATAGTTTTATTGAAATGAAACGGTCAAATGCTCATGAAGTGACTCTTAGAGCAGTTCTGGCGATGTTGTTCATGTATTTATGTCCTCATTAGTGAGACTGCAGAGGTAACATCACCGGAAGCGTCACGAGCATTTCAGTACGAGTACTACACAAAACCGCGTGTCTGTGCATAACTTTAAATGACTTCTGTTGTGATCTGGCGCTATAGGGAAAATATAATTAAATAAAATTAACTTGACCTTCAAGGGGGGCGGGGGGTGCCGTTAGAGGGGCGGGCCGCCCCCCCTAAAATAATGGCAGGGGAAACACTGGTATGTGTATATATATATATTTGTGTTTTCTCCCTCCTTCCCTCTGATTATTGTTATTTATTTTTTTGGGGGACAAAAATGTAATACTAAAACTATATTATTATTTTTATTATTGTTGTTGTTATTGTTATTATTACTAAATAAAAATGTTTACAAATATTTTTACAGTAAATTAAAAAAAAATCTGTGAGCCGAGCCACTCTGAAACACTGAAAACACCAGATCATGTAAAAGATGCTTTTCACGCATGTAAAAGACGTGCTTCACTTTGAAACATTCGGCACCGTATCACGATTTCGACTTTATTTAATGTAATCTTCTGGGTCTAGGTGTACAGGTGCATCTCAATAAATTAGAATGTAGTGGAAAAGTTCATTTATTTTAGTAATTCAACTCAAATTGTGAAACTCGTGTATTAAATAAATTCAATGCACACAGACGGAAGTGGTTTAAGTCTTTGGTTCAGTAAGGTAAGGAAGGAAGGAATGGAAAAGAGGAGTGAGCAGATTGTGATATGGATGGGGAGAGAGAGATGGAGAGCCATTGGTATTGCAGGCAGGGCCTCTCAGATGGAAGGAAGAATAAAGCAGCTGAATCGATCAGGCCTTTGAGTGGCGTTCTCGTGTCCAGGCTCCCTGTAGCTTTGCGGATATTCGCTACACAAAGGCAGCTTATGGGTCCAGCCGGGAGATTATACACACATGAGATCAATACTCAGGCCTCTGCGAGCTGGCCGTGGCTGTCTGCAGTCCGTCTTTACAACTCGGAGTCACACCGATGTCCTTGTACTGTGACGGCAATTTGTCTCCCTGGCTGCCAATTGGCTCTTAAAATGGAGAGCTCATCAAGCGGGATTGGCTGGATGAGTACCACTCTCACCCGTGTGATAAGAATGCTGACAATAAAGAGAGGTGAATGTCCACAGTGGACTCAGCTGAGGGTTGGGGTGGGCTTTATGGTGCTCATTATAGCGCCCTTATGAAACCTAGCAGGCTGCCTAGCTAGAGTGCATTTTAAGGCAGCATATATTCGCTCTTGACATGCAAAACAGTTCCAAAAGGATACCGGCATGATTATTTGCTCCAAATTAGTACCTTATGTGTTCTCAGGTGACATTAAGATTTTTTTTTTATTAGTCCATATTGGATATCAGCAGATATTGGATGATTTGTTGTCATTTTGACCTTTATTGTCATCTAAGGCTCACAGGTTAATCTTTAGAAGTTAGATGTACTTTCACTGTCGTTATTATTATTATTACATGGTTATTAATGCAAGTTAAATTCTTTCACACTTTAAAACTAAATATTTAAAATAGTATTTTGCAGCATTTTTGTTTTGATAACAACAATAAAAAAATAGTAATACATTAGAAATTAGAAAAATAATAAATATAATAAGAATAAACAATTACATTTTTTCACCTTTTTACAAAACATTTAAAACAGCATTTTATATTAA